TGTTGAAGGCGGCGATCATTTGCAGGTTCAGGTGAGGGGCGGTCGTGTGTCCCCACTGGGAGGTCAACTGCCCGACCTGGGTGACGAAGCCCGAGTACTTCCGGAGGCTTGCCCCGGTGAGGGGGGGGTTGGTGATCAACCGGGGCAGATCCTGCATGACGTAGGTGAAGACGTTGTCGCCCAGCGCCGTTGCGCCGCCCGCGTTCAGCATGTTGATCAACTGATCAATCCGGGGCTGTCCCGGTGTGAACACGTACCACTCCGCCGATGGGCCCGGGGGGAGAGGTTCTGAGGGCCCAGTAACCTGCACAGCCGAGGGCCCAGTCGAGGGTCCAGCCTCGGTCGGAGTTACCTCCTTCCTCCCTTTTTTTCGAACCCGACCCCTTAGGCGGTCCTTCCACTCGCCGCTTCGACGGGGTGGGCGTGACTGTCGGCCCCGCTGTGGCCGCAGTCGCGGCCACGGTCGCGGCCGCGGAACCTCCTGCACTGGGCCCCGGCGTTTGCTCCCTCTGTTCCTTTCGAAGACTTTCCGGCGGTTCATCAGGATTGAAGTGCGTGAAGTCGCTGGGGCGCGACCGCGCGTCGTAGGCGGAGAGGATCCAAACCTGGAAGGCCCGGGGGGTCTAGGGATGAGTCAAGAACCTCAGCACTGGGGGAACGATGAAGTCGGGGAACCACCGCAGAAACCGGAGGTTCTTTCCGTCTTTGACGAGGGCGAAGGGGTCGGGAGGAAGTCGTCCAGCCAGCATGCTGAAGTACTCAGAGTAGAGGCTGATCTGGAGGGCCCCCGGCTTCCTTTTGATTGGGTAGAATGCAGGGGTCCCGAACATGGCCGCAGGGGACTCGTGCGCGCGCAGTTCGCGCAGGGTATACTTCCCTTCGCCTGTTCCGGAGGCTCCCGGCTTATGCTCCATGACGTGGTAGCGGATTGCGCGGAACTCTGCTTCAGGGATAAAGAAAGACATCCAAGCACCGTCCGCGTCCTCGTAGGAGCCCATGTAGCTGGTGTAAGCCCAGCGCGTCCATCCCCGAGGAGGTGGGGGCGCAGCCGGGTCCACAGAAAAGTAGGCCGCAAGAGCATCTTTGTCCGGAAAGGACGACAAAAGCTCTTCCGTGGCTTCGCTCCCGTCTCTGTCCGGCGGAACGTCTACCGCCGTCATCATCCACGCCCCGATGAGGTCATCTGTTTCGGGGTTGATGAGGAAGAGGGGATCGCCGGGGCGGAGTTGGTTAAGCCGGACGGAGGCGTGTTGGGGGATCTCAAACCTGTAAAACTTGAGATGTTTCCCCCCGCCGCTCAGGGGCGGGGGGATCTCAATCACGAGATCCACTTCGAAGAAGTGGGGCAGAACGTGGTAGGCCTTCGTCCCGATGTCCGAAGCCTTCCCCACGACCGTCGCCGCCGCTTCCGTCCCTGCTTCTACTTTCCCCACACTTGTGAAGATCGTGTCAGCCGAGTCCCAAAACTCTGTCGCCTTCGCCTTTTCCCGCAGCATGCCGACGATAATTGTGGTGTTCCGGCCCCTGCCATCGTGCTTGGACAGGAAACCCCAGGAGAAGTCGTTCCGCTCAAGGGACTCCGCCGAAGCTTCCGTTTGGAAGATGCATCGGTTTACTTCCTCCGGAACTCCCCTGCAGGTCTGGGCCCCTGCACAATCTGTGCAGCAATCCGCATAAGGGACGCCGCGGTGAGGCTGCTGTAGAGATGTTTCCCGGTGACGGTCTCCCCCACCGGAAAACTGCGGCATAGGGATTCAAAGTTATCCGCTGCAGCCTGCGTCAGTCCCGCGCTTCCGGCCATGGGGTTTCCCCC